AAGCTTACACTGAGGTTGCTAGCTAGGATGTGTGTGCATCGGGAATTCGAGAACTGTGGGGAATGCAGGGTGGAAAGAAACGGTATTCACTCTATAAGGGTCCAGGGCTGTGTGCTTTTCGCAAGGCGAACAGACCTCTCTGGGCCCGTCTGCACCTCTAACATGGGAACTGACTTTCTCTCCGAGTGTGTCAGGCTAAAGTGCCACTGGGCTTTTAAACTGTGTGCAAAATTGCTCAGTGCTGCTGCTGCTCAAAGGCCTTCAACAAAGATCTCTCTGGCTTCCCTGTGGCCGAACTCATCTTTAGAAAGAATTCACAGGGCCATGTTTCTGCAGATGCATAGGGCCCGAGGAACAAAGTGAGAATATCACGCTCCAAACAGGGTCCTTGTCTTCATGTTTCAAGTCTAATAACTCTGGGCAGGGGTCACTGCTGGCTGTGCTGAGCCCGGGCCGGGGCCTATGCCTAATGTGGAGGCGGCTGCAATTAGCACCACCTGGGGCCCGGAACATGCTAGGTGTTCAGGTAACATCAGCCACACCCATAACTGGTTTATTGGGGTTCATTCATCTACTCTGTGAACAGTTAACGAAGCCAGCTTTATGCCTGATGCAAGGTAAGTTAGCGCAGAGGGAGAGAGCTATCGCTCCTGGAGTATTAAGCTTGAGGGGAAAAGGACTCAGCCGCATGTGAGGACACATGGGGGTCAGGGGAGGGTTAAGGCACCGAGAGAAAAAGGAATGCCGCATGTCTGGATGGAGGGCTGGTGGTGGATTGCTGGGACAGGGTCAGGGGGCTGCCCCGTGAGGCTAGGAGGCTGGCTCAGAGAGTCAAGCCTGCAGCTGACTAGCCAGGACTATTCCCATCTGTGCCCAAGGGCTCTTACCGTGTGCACTTTCTGTCTATGTTCTGTCGTGGCCAGCGTCGCCAGGCCCAGTGGGCAGGGTATAAGGCAGGGGTGGGGTGGGGCGGGTGGAGGGAGCCATTTGCCATGCTGCTCACCAGCCATTTGCCATGCTGCTCACCAGCCATTTGCCATGCTGCTCACGCCTGCACTCCTGCTCTGGAGGTGAAAGTTGCAGCCGCTAACCACGCTAACCACAACCCATCAGGCCTCCCCAGCCGGACTAAGACAACAGAAGGAAGTCGAGCCACGCTCCCAGCCAAGTAAAGGCCCATGTGCCAGGCCTCCCTGGCTGTGAGTGCTGAAGACAGGGCTGGGCAGCAGACTGCTGCCAGGCCACTTTATTCTGTCGCCTGTGCTCGTGGGGACCATGGCCTGCCAAACCCTGAAAGCTTTGAGATGCGGCAACCCTGCTGGTTTATAACATGCTTAAGAAGAAAGGAACACAGCCAGAGGCAGACTTTCTTCTTCATCCCCCCCCTTGAGCTCTCTTTTCACATCCCACGCGGTAGGCAGAGAAGAACAACACTTCACCTACCACGGCCAGGGGCTGGAGACTAGAAATCGGATTCCTGACCAGGGAGGGAGGGGCTGGGAGGCAGAGAGCAAGGGAGAGACAGGAGTTAGAGGGATGGGAGTGGGGAGAGGACCAGGAGCGTGTGTGTGTGTGCGTGTGTGTGTGCGTGTGTGAGAGAGAGAGTGGGGGGGGGTGTGAAAGTAGAGCCTCCCTCCCCCCAAGGTACCTGCTTGACTTTTTCCCAGTCAGGTCCAGTGACTTCCTGGGCCCTTCTTCCCACGTGCCAGGCTGTGTGTGCCCTGGCTGGAGAGTCAGGAGCACCAGGCTCTCACTCTACCCAGTCACAGCTCCCTCAGTGCACTAGCCTGGGACTGGGAGAGTGGCAACAAGGAGCCATTGCTATCTCCTTGTAGCTACAGGCCCCGAGGTGCTGGCACCCTGTGCCTACTGTACAGATGGCAAAGCTAAGGCCGAGACTCACCAGAGACCATAGAGTGGATAGTAGAACTCGCATACACACGCTGAGTCTAACATAAGGGTGCTGACCCGATCAGTCAATGCAAAGGCTTGGTCAGAAGAACGGCTGAAAACCTAGGTTTGTGTTCCAGCTGTGCTACGGGTAGCTGGGTGGCCATTAATAAGTTACCTGTGCTGCCTGAGCCTCAGATTTCTGATCAGCTAAATGAGTCAGCGACAGCCTCTACCTCCCTGAGTCCTGTACGATTAAGCACACAAAAGACTGCAGCTATGCCTGGGTCCTGGCAAGGCCTAGCAGAAGAGACGCACAGGGATGACAATGGGAGCTATATCTTCACCATCCCTTCCATGTCAGCAGCGGGGCTGTGGGCAAGGCATAACCCAGGGCAGGAGCTGCACTGGAAGCTCCAGTGTAGCGGCTCTGGCTACCCATCACTAGCCCTGAGAATGGCTCAGGCCCGTCATGAGCAAGTTGTTCCTGAGCTTTGCCTTTGATGGCATGGCCTGCAGCCCTCAGGGAGCCTTTGTGGTGGCCAGTACTTCAAGGCTTCCACCTGAGGTCTGAGTGCCTTCCTGGCAGAGCCCAAGGGCAAGTGGGACTCGTGCCCAACTCTGTCCTGGACCCTGGATGCTCAAAACAATGCAGAGTCTGACACAAATGAGCCAGTATTTTTCACGGCAGGGAAAAGGGCAGAAGAGAAAGGAGGTCCGGGCAGGCACTGAGGCCTGCAGCCCTGTTCTGAGGACTTTGGATGCTGTGCACACGTGCAGGACAAGGTGGGGGTGGACGGCACACTGTTTCCAGGGCATCTGCACACCTGGCAGCCTTGAACCTGCCCCAGGGCCTGCAGGGCAATACCTGATGTAAGTCACAGCCATGCTTGGAGGCCTTAGTACTTATGGCCACCTTGGATCTGCCAGAGAGGCAGACACAGGTATCTCTGTCAGTTTCATCGCTAGACCTGCCTATTGGGCTCCACGGCTCTGCGCAGAACCAAGGCCTGGCTTCTGCTGCATCCTCTCACCTGGGAGGAGAGGATGCTGTCTTCAGAGCTCAATTTATTGAAGGGGCTTCTGCCCATGCGAAGTAGAAGTGCTGAGCCCGCACTCTTGCAGGCCTGGGCTGGGTGGTGGGGTGACCACAGGGGAGGCAGGCCCCTGCCTCGGTCCCGGGAGAGCGCCTTCCATAAACATTTGCCGACGGGTGCATTTGGACCTGTCGATGCCTGTCGATGAAGACAGGTTCTGTCTGCCCATCAGGACTTGGGATCTTATTGAGTTGTGAGCCTGCCACTAGGTGTGCAATCCCCCGCTTCTCCAGCTTTGCATTGGCTTGGGTTGGAATGCTCCCGGCCCTGGGTGGAAAGCCTGGTGCTTCTCAGAGCCTGAACTAAACAGGGGTACCAGACAGAAACCAACCAGTCCCGATACAAGCACACAGCACACCACAGTTATCGTTGGGGGTGGGGGAGAGGCGGCTGGGCCTGGTCAGAACATAAGGCAAACAGCAAGAACGTACGGGGCAGAGGCACAGAGGAGCAGAAGACAGGCACTGACTGATGCCTGACACCCAGAGGGAGGGAAGGGCTGCAGGAAGCAGCGGTCCTCTGAATGGCTCTCCACACCACTAACAGCACAGCAGCAGAAGAGAGAAACGTTCTAGATTAATGTGGAACGGCATAGGTGAGGGCCCGAGGCCCCACCTTTAGCTGGGGAACAATGAACCCTGTAGGGCAAAGGTTCCCAACCTATGGGCTGCAACCCCTTTAGGTTGAACGACCCTTTCCCAGGGGTCACATATCAGATAGTCTAGATATAAGATGTTTGCATTACAATTTGTAACAGTAGCAAAATTACAGTTATGAAATCACAATGAAAATAAGTTTATGGTTGGGGTTTCCCACGTGAGGAACTATATCAAAGGGGCGCAGTGTTAGGAAGGCTGAGAACCACTGCTCTGGGAAGTGTGGTGGGCAGGTGGCATGGCTCTGGATAGAAGACAAGTGGAAGGCCAGGGTCTATGTTCCAGGGCTTTGGTCTGCTGCAGTCAGTGGCCCCATGCTGCCTCTGGTTTTTAGCACTGGCCAGAAACAATCTTGCTGGACTGCTTTATGCCCCCAGGACAACGTCCCTTCATGGTCCTCCAACTATCCTTGGCAAGGAACAGGGAAAGATGGCTCCTGATCCCAGCTCTATAGACACAGAGCTCACAGCAAACACTTTCAGGGGACAACAGTGGTCTGAGTCTACGAGCCAGGAGGATACCTGAGGGTCCTGATGCTGGGACAACCAGGTAGGAAGAAACTGCCTGCCTCTTGATCACAGCATCAATGTTACTGCAGACAGGGATGTTTCAGCCTAACCCAGAACCTGGCCTTGCCAGTAAGTGGGAGGAGGAACGTGTTCCCGGTTGGGAGACTCATAAACCAACAGACCTCAGGCCAGCAGACAATGGTAACTGCTGTGCTCTGCTTCCTGGTGGGGACCTTGTGAGGGTGCTGTTAAGGAAGTGGGCTTCAAGTTCAAGCCTTGACATCCTAGTGAGGGGTGCACACCCTATTAGAGACGAGGCCCCACTGACTCCAGCTCCACAGACTCCAGCTCCCCCCGATTCCCTCTGTCCTTTAGCATCAGGTACAATGGACCCCGTTTCTCCCACGGCCCTGCTTAGTCACCATGGTGTCCCAAGAATGAGAACAGCAGGGCTTAGGGGTTCCTGGTCATCAGCTCAATAGTCTCCAAGGCCACAGAGTGTCACCTGGATGAAGTCAGCTCTGGGAGCGCAGAGCTCAGGCAGAAAGCGAGCAGCCCTTCAGAAAGGCATATTGGTAACCCCGTGGTTCAGGACCAGCCTCTGGAATCCATTGCCGTATCCCTGGGCTTGAGGGAACAACTGTGGAACCTGAATTGAGGACCGTAACATGGACAGAGGCCTTGTCCTTCCTGCTTGCCTGGCCCCGCTGCCCTACCCGCATGCAAGACAAGGTGGCTGTGTATATGGCTGTCCCGAGACAAGAGGGTTTAGTCACAGAGGCTGGGGCTTGTGCACAAGTGAGGGCAGCTCTCCAGATCATCCCTGTTCCAGCTCCCACCACTCCTACCTTGGAAGTGTCTGGCCGTCTTCCTCCGCAGGGCCTGCACAGTCACCTCCGAGTCTGCCCACTCCAGGACCAGCCTCCGGCCATACAAGTGAGTGCTATGGCAGAGGGCGCTGAAGGCTTTCTGGAGGGGACAAGAGAGACAGTCTGTGAGCTGTGGGTTCCACGGTCTCCCTCCAGCCCTGGGACTCTGGGCGTCTGGCAAGGTACTGGGGTGCTGTTGGCACAACTACCTAATTAGTAAGTTGTGTTGCAAGGATAAGAGTTATAAGCAGTGAGCAGTCAACACATCCACCCCCGGGACAGGCGGGTCACCCGCTGCCCATGCACCATCTTATCTGTGGAGGGTGACTCCAATGACTCTCAGGGTCATCAGAGGACAGTCCCTCAGGGATACTCAATGCCACTTTCTTTTGCTGGCCCTGTGCCTGTCCCCTATTTCTTCCTTGAATCTGTCCTGTCTGTTTCTGCTGTCTCCTTACTGGTCCCCTGTCCCCTCCACCACGGGCTCCCATGCCCAGTTCAGCAGCACGGACCTCAAACAACCTCTTCCTCCTTGCTCTGCCTAGCTCCCTGCCCCCTGCCCCTGCCTTTCAAACACTAAACTGCAATATAATCAATACACGGTCTGTGTGGATTCTAGAACATTCTATCACCATCTCAAATGAAACAGGCACCTTGGTTGTTGCTCCTCAAGTCCCCCAATTCTTCTCCCAGCTCATGGAGACCACAAAACCACTTTCTGCTTTTCTGGATGTGCCTGTCCTGGGCATTCACACGATCACCAGACCGCACTGACTGAAGCCCTCTATAAACATGGCTGGTTGAGAGGCTTAGTGGCCCTGTGCAGGAGCGGCCTCCAAGTCTTCCGGAAACACCCATGTCACTAACACAGGACATTGGAGGCCAAGAGTCTTTCAACTCCAGAGTCACCACGTCTGGAGTGAGGCAGGCCCCGTGCTTCCTTTTCTTCAAGCACTTAGGCAACTTAAGAGAACCTTCTGGGCTTAGCATCATCAAGCAGAAGGGTGAATACACCGGAGTGTGGGACCCTGGAGGATAAGTGGGGACACAGCGTGGGGACACAGCATGGGTACCCATCTCCTGTGCTCAAATTCCCTTTGCAGCTTTCTAAGGTGTAGAGGATGCTCTCGGGGCTCCTGGGAGGGGCTGCAGAGCACCTGGGCTGCTCCTCTCACCGCACTGACACGTGGAAGAACTCATTAGCCAGCACAGCGAGGCCTGGAACCAGCCACTGTCCTTTGCCCATGATGTGACTGCTGTGGTTGGAAAGCTTCCCCCAGGAGATGTGTGGGGGCCTGACCTTGGGCACTATGGGAGGTGACAACGCTGGAAAACGGTGGTTGAAGGAACCAGATCACACAGGAGCGAGGTGGCCCAGCTCAAAAGGACTACTGTCAGATACATAATATCATGTGGAGAGGTGAGTCTACCCACCACCAGATACCCAGTATCACCAGCTGTGGACAGAGAATGGGAGGGAGGCACGGGTTACACTTCACCCCACACTGCTTGGTCTGGGGCCCTGGAACTGCCAGGCAGTGCACCTCTGTTGTGTACGCTTCAGGATGTGGGGAATAAGGCCACGGCCCTGGGCTAGTCCCTGCCCCACTTGGGTCTTGGAAAGGCTGCAGGACTTAGACTAGGTTGTAAAGGCGGCACCCAGAGTCCATTTAAGACAAACAGAATCTGGAAAGACAGGAGGACCTGGGATGGGTGGGGTGGGAGAAGAGGCATCAAACAGTTGTGTAGTCACACGGAGAGAGGAAAGGCCTCCACGCTGTTCTCTGCACTCTTGAGAAGGGCCAGGTGCAGCACCCCACACTTTTTTTTTTTTTTAAAGTTTAATTTAGAAGCCTCTCCTGGCTGCCAGCAGAACCCCTGCCATTTTTTCCCAGGCAGATATAAAAATGCATCTGGCCCCCGAGCCGAAATGGCTCATTCTGAGCTCCGAAGCGCGAGTGCTCAGCTGGCAGACAGGGAGACGGCGGGACTGGGGGAGTCAGCCCCTCAAGACCAAGAGAGGAACTGGTAGGGAGTCTGGTGTGTGTCCCCGAGGAGTGGCATCCTGGGGGCACAGCAGTCTGGGCAGCCAAGGCTGCATCTGGCGACTTCTCCAACCACACTTACAGAGTAGAAAGAGATCCTGGCAGGGAGGCCCATGAGAGCTGCCCCAACCCAGCCTTCATTTTCTTTCTCAATTTTTTGCAATCTATTTCTTCTTTCTTGTACCCCAGAAGGCCTGGTGGTGTTTCTGTTCACTGGAGGAGCTGCTAACAGCTCTTCTTGGTTCTCCCTCTTTCTCCCGCTCTGGTACTTTATCAGCTCCTCCCATCAGAAGGGCTTTCCATACTTGGAGCTGTGGGGGCTGTGTCTCTCTGCAGCTAGGCTGCCTCAGTTCAAATCCCTGTTGTACCTCTTCCAAGCTGTGTGATGTTGCTCAAGCTGCTTGAGGTGTCTGAACCTAGGCTTCATCACATCTGCTCTGCGTGCCCACTTCCTAAGCTGGAGTGTGGTGTTCTTGAGCAGCGACTGGAGGCTAACGCCAGCCTCGGGAAGGCAGAGCACATGCAGCCTGTGGAGGTGATGGACACTTGTCTGCCTGAAGCATCTTAGGAGTGGAGTGAGGAGGGAGGAACAAACAGACCACTTTTGAGGGGCTTCTGGGCTGGGCAAGGACACACCTGAGATGCATGGAAGATTCTAGACACTTGAGTGGGAAGAATGCAGGCTGCTGGCAGCTTCTCCCCTATACCTGGCCCCAGAGAAACCACCTCGCCACTTACACAAAGAGGCTAGGCCAAGGGAACTCACTTTTGCCAACACAGCCTGAGGGATTGTCCCTTGTGGAACATGCAGTCCCGTGGCTGCTTTTTGTCACCCCTAGGACCAACATTCTTCTTGGTGTGGCCCAGGGAAGCCCCAGGTTCCACAGGTCTCCAACAGAAATGACTCCAGCTTGCTCATTTCACGGACAGTCACTGGTCTCCCACTTCAACAGGGGACACCTGAGGGCCTGCTATCTGTTCCATCTTTGCATTGAAGCAGTGGCCTAGTCTGGGGAGAGGGCTCTGTCACCCTGTGCCCAGCACACCCTGAACCCCAGAGGAAAGGTGTCCTGTCCCTTCCTTAGTTGGGACACTGCTCTCAGTAAACCAGAGTCCCCTTCCACCGAGGGCCTTGAGAACATGTCTCCACACCGGGGGGATGGTCAGCGGGGCTCTGCCTTACACACTGCCACAGCATTTCACCCCACACTTCAGAACACAAAGACCCAGTGAGAGCACAGCTGGGCCCCTGATGAATGGACACAGCCACCCACCTGCTGGCATAGGAGACATATCAACCTCTCACCGTGGCCTGCTGGGAAGCCTATGGTCCAGAGTGTAACTCAAGAGACTCAGGGTTGATACAGGGAATGCCAGAGAACAGCCACACCTTGCCATCTCCTGGTGGCCATCACTGGCTACCCTTAGCTCCATCCTCTACACTCTGGGAGCCTCTTCCCGGGGCCACAGCCAGCGCTGTCTCCCTATCTCTACAGAGGGGAGGCAGATGGGAGATGAGAGGAGGGAGGTGGGAATTCCTTCCCACCCCAACCTCTAGACAACAGCATGGGCCTTACCCCTCTTCCTGAGAGTCTCTATCCCGAGTGTGCTGTTTACCATCTGATCCCGAGGAGACCACTGCTCATAGTCCCTCGGTTCCTGGGGTGTCAGTCTCTTTACTTGAGTCTCTGTGGGGGTGGACCTGCCCCAGCTGGACTAACTCCCATTGTCGGGGCTCTGTTTCAGGCAGCTACTATCCCAAGTTGTGAGCATCTACCCCAGCCTAAGCTACCACACTCCATATGGGATGCCCTGTGATTGAGGTCTTAGCACTCAGGACCAAGGCCTCCTGCCTCCTCATCCTGATCCCACCTGGAAGACAGTCTGCTCAGGCAAAGTGGGGGAACCAATACAAGCTGCAACGAAGCTGGACCTGGTGGCCATCTTTTAAGACCATGGAAGGTTCTAGAACGCTGCCAGTACAGTGCTGTGTTTGACCTCTATGCAGTTTCCCTGAAAACAAATATCTTCCAGCAACCAAAACCATTCAGTGCCCTTGACAGGACTCCAGTCCCATGTGGTTACAGAGGACTGGCCAATCCCCAGCTGTGGGCAGAGGTAAGGATGAACCTAATATTAGATGTCAGGAGTCTCCTGGCCCTGCCCCCTGCTCCTTGGATTCCAACCCTGGCAAAGCCAGAGGGCTGCAGACACTAACACCACCAACCTGCCCTAAATATCTGTGCCCAAAACCTGAAGGGGAAGGGGAAGAGGTGGCCTCGTGAATGCAGGTGTCAAGACACTGAGCACAGGGGCAGAGGGGCCAAGTTTTATCAGGTTTGCAGGAAACACTGTGTAGTGATGTCCAGGGGTGAGTCTGCCTCCTCGTGGTCTGCGCTATGACGACGGGTCAGCAAAGCTTGCCAGCAGCTTCTGGCCTGTCCAGAAGTTGCCTCTTAGATAGGAGTGCGTCCTAGCTCTTTGGAAACAAGGGGTGACTTCCGCAGTCCACTCTGAGAAGTGACACTGTCTTAGTCCCTGTTTCGTTGCTGTAAAGGGACACCATGACCACAGCAACTCTTACAAAGGAAAACATTCAAGCAGGGGCTTGCTTACAATTTCAGAGGCTTAGACCATTATCATGGTGGGAAGCATGGTACTGGAGCAGTAGCTGAGAGCTACATTCTGACACACTTCCTCCAACAAGACCATACCCTCTAATCCTTCCAAACAGTTCCATTCCGGGGATCCTATGGGAATCAGCCTAATTCAAACCACTAGACACTGAGGAGTGGAGGGCGATCATTCAAGACGACCAGTCACAGGCTCACTTATAGACTGTACCCAACTCTATGACACAAAGAGATGAATTCCGAGTCATTCCATCAGTTCAATCCAGTCAACTTAACCTCTGAGGACACTGCCCTGACTCAAAAGACAAACACTACCGCAGGGCAGGGGTGAAGCAGGGAGGGCAGCTGTCAGGTGGTCAGGGTAAGAGGTGACAGGCAGTGCTGACTAGGCTGCTCCTGCACTGTCCAGTAACCTGCTACAA